ACTGGTTGGAGCCCCCCCCCCGGCCCCCCCCCCCCCGCCCCCCCCCCCCGGGCCAGCTGAATAACAAAAGCATTGAGCCTCTGCTTGGGTGTCAGACTGGGGGCCCGCAAAGCCAGGGGATCCCTGGGCCAGGCAGGGGTGGGGGAAGCCCTCTGGTCCAGGTGGGCAAGTGCAAGGGAAGGTGGAGGCCTGGAGCCCTGGGTGTGTACCTGGCTTTGGAGAGGTGGTCAGGCTGAGAGCCGGTTCCAGGAGGGTGTGGGGCTCTAGGGCAGGATCTGTGTAACGGGCCACATGTTATGGGGTGGGAGTGCGGCTGCCCAGCGTGCTCTGCGGGCACCGGGAACCACCAAGTTGAAGTCAGGAGAAACGTAGCTCCAGGGTAGAGAGGCCCCTTTGTTCCTATCTACGTGTAGTCTATAAATAGGTATATCTATTGAGCACCTGTTGTGTGACAGACACTATCGTAGGCCCTGGAAAAATAGCAGATATAAGACAAGCAAGATCTTTGTTTTTTTGTTTGTTTGTTTGTTTGTTTTTTTGTGGTACGCGGGCCTTTCACTGCTGTGTCCTCCCCCGCCGCGGAGCACAGGCTTCGGACGCGCAGGCCCAGCGGCCGTGGCTCACGGGCCCAGCCGCTCCACGGCACGCGGGATCCTCCCGGACCGGGGCACAAATCCGCGTCCCCTGCATCGGCAGGCGGACTCTCAACCACTGCGCCACAAGGGAAGCCCAAGATCTTTGTTTTTGAAGAAAATATGAGAAGGATCCAGCCTTGGTAGGAAGGAATACCCCGGGCAGAGCTAAGGTGGGAAGGGGCCACATGTGTTTGAGGAGTGGAAAGCAGCCAGTGTGGCCAGGGAGAGAAAGAGGAGATGAGGCCAAAGGTCTCAAGCAGGGCTGGGTTGGCTACAAAAAGGAAGTGATTCTAAGTGCTAAGGGAACCTACTGAATGTGTTTAAGCAAACTGGTCTGATTTACATTTTTAAGAGTTCACTCTGTACAGAACAGACGGGAGTGGGCCGGGCAGATGCCATGGAGAGCTGTGCTGGTGTGTGGACCTGCAGAGTTGGAGAGAAGTGGACGCAGTTAGGACGCGTCTGGGTGGAGTCCAAAGACTCCAGGGGGAGTGAGGGAGAGCCCCGCACACACAGCCCTTCCTTCAAGGGGACTCCCATCCCCACCCCAGCACACTCACCACTCCTGGAAAAATTTCTTTTCTGGCTTGGGCATTGCAAGATCAAACCTAGGCTACCCTGGGCTACATTTCAAGGCCCCGTGATGGGCATGGTGTGCAGAGAATTGGGGACACGTCGGGTTGGTCCCCCACACCCCTATTTGAGGAGTTGGGGTGTGCCTCGGCTGACTGAGAGAAAAGCAGAAATTGGCACTTTTTATCAGGAACGTGCTGTCTATAACCATCCCCCATGTGATCTCAGCACCTTTAAGACAAGGGTCAGCGGCATGGGCTGCCTGGGCAGAGAGGAGCCAACCAAGGGGCAAGGATGGGGGGCCGTTCCCCAACAGCTGGCACCAGGTGCCTTGATTAAATGGTTTTTCTGCAGAGGGGCACCCACCTACCTCCCCAAAGCAGGGGTTCTCCCAGAGAGTGGCTGTTCCACATTCCCCCAGCCCCGCGAGACAAAGCCACCCTGTGCTTTAACGAGGAGAGAGACCTTGGACTCTGCTCTGGTTTCTGCACAGACGCAAATGGATCCCCAACCTGACTTTCCCATTTTCCTCCCTTTCTTTTTCCTCTTTCCCCAGATCCTTAATTGGCAGAAGGAGGGGACATAGTGGAACATTTCAGATTTTACTTTTTGACTACCCTGATTTACACCCGTTTCTCTGATGGAGCGTTTGGAATGAGGGACAGAAGAGATAGAAACTAAGGCGGCAGAGAAGGATGTAGCAAAAAAGCATTAAGCTGATAGTTATCCTCTGAAAGGCTTGAGCCAGACCCAGGCTCGCTCACTCTCTCTCTCTCTCATTTACTCTTGAGAAGCAAAACCCTAGGAGGAAGACCAGGCCCAGAATATGACTCTGAACACACCGTAGTAGCAGATGAAGGGCTTCTGAGCAGTGCACGAGGCGGCCCCCAGGCTGGGGAAAATAGCTGTTGAATACAGAGTGGCACAGAGACCCTCCTCGAAGACGGCGGCGAGCTCCACGCTGGCACGCTGAAGGTGGAGCCGCTGGACCATCTCAGGCCCCCAAGGCGCACGTGGAAGGAGAGGCCGATCCAGGCCGCGGTGCTGCTGGTAAGGGAATAGAGGGTCTTGATGTTGCTCCAGTCGCTCATGCTCTGCAGGTCGCCCAGGTCTGTGCGGTGCTGCCAGCAGCACTCCAGGGCCTCAGACCAGCTCAGCTCCTCTTCCACCCTCCAGAAGGTCTTGCTGTCACTGGTCAGCTGCAGGGCTGGGGCGGGAGAGATTGTCATCGTGTGGCTGCCCCTACCCTACTCCCAAATCCCGGGTGTTCAACTGCACCACAGGCAGCCTCCCCAGCCTCTCCTAACCCACTCCACCCCTCACCTCCCGCCCTCCACTTGCACAGCTGCACAGCTCTGCTTCCGGGCCTCTGCACAAGCTGCTCTCTTGGCCTGAAAGACTGGCCATCCTCACCTGCGCCCTTGATCCCCCATTCTCCCATTTCTCGTCTCCCCCTTCCCTCTGCCCCATCCTGGGCAGGCTCCCTTCCTATGAGCCACAATGTACCTTTGTTAATGCTTAGCAACAGTAGAAAGTGTTTACTGAGCACTCACCATGTGCGATTAGCTCACTGAATCCTTTCCAACAACTAACTCCCTAGGATAGACAACACCATGACTGTTTTTACAAATTTAAAAACCAAGTCACTGAGAGTTAAGTGACTTAGCCAAGGCCACCCAGTGGAAAGGGGTAGAACCAGGGCCCAGGGACCGTGGGTGGGGCTCCCAGGGCAAGGCCCTTAGACAGAGCATGGTTTTGCCCTGATGTAGGTGTCACAGGCTCATAACTGCGGCTGCACGTTAGAATCACCTGGGGGAACTTTTCCAATACACCAATGCCCAGGACGCCCAACGGCAAGGATCTGAATCTCTTGCTGGGACTAGTATTAGAATTTGTTTAAAGTCCCTGGGGAAAAGGACCTTTTGGCTTGTCTGCACCACCAGGTCCAGGCAGCTTGGGAGCAAAGAACCGGCCTTATTCATCATTATATTCCCAGTGCCCAGCACATCAGAGGGGCTGGGTGTATTGAAAATAAATGAATGAGTGAACAAATAAGCACAAACTTCTCCCAGGAACCGACCCGAACCCCAAGAACTCAATGTTCACTTCCTTCCTTCCTTAATCCATCCCCTTGTGGAGGTGCCAGCAAATGAGGGCTGGTTAATGACTGCTTTGCTCAGGGTCTTGGGGTGGGAGAGGGGGGCGTCCTAGTCCTTAAGGAACCAGCCTCAAGCCAGAGCCCCAGGGGAGCAAAATAAGACTGAAAAACCGGGCATACAGAGGGGCAAGGATGTGTACAATGGGGGAGGACACGGGAAAGGCCTGATGAGGTGCCTGCCTAAAGAATGATGTTCCTCACACCCACCAGAGGCCAAGAAGATGCTGCCTGTCGCTGAGAGAAGTTGGAGGATCCCTGGGCAGGAGAAAAGGAATAGAAAGAAATTACTTTCTTGTGATATGTAATTCATTTTGATATTTGTTTATCCTATTCTGTTTATTTTTAAAAAATCAGTGGCTGTGGTCCACTAAATTGACTTTAGGATGTAATGGGTCCCAACCCACAGTGTGAAAAACCCTGCTGCCCCAGCTGATCTCCTGGCTTTAAACACCTTGAGATGACAATTCCCAGACACAGCCTCCACCCTGGAGCTCAGTGTACATGTCCGACTGTCCGTTTCTCACATGCACATGGGTTCACCCTGCCAATCGGCCTGTCCTAGTCGTCCCAGCTCATCACATGGCACCCCTCACCCCAGCACCTCAAGCCCCACCCAGGAGTCACTGTTGGTGCCTCTCTGTCTCTGTCTTGGCAGATCCCATCGGTTCTACAGCAAGTGTGCATCTTGGACCTTGAACTTTCCACTTCTTTCCGTGCCCACTGCCACCCTGGCCCGAATCACCATCCCCTCCCTGGGACTGACAGCACCAGCCCCAAAGGCTCTCTGCTTCTGTCCTCCACTATCACAGTCCCCTCCCCACTCTGCGTGCAGAAGGACCTTTCTGAGATGCTCCCCTTGTCACTGCCGCGGGCCACAGGGCGGGCTCCTTACCACAGTCCCCAGGCCCTGTGTGTCCTGGCCCTGCTGTCATAGGAAAAGCCTCCGCAGGCTTCCGCACTTGCTCATGCATACACCCTACTCATCCACAGGGCTCGACCCTGGGCCTCAGGACCTTTCTCTAGCTTTATTCTTTGAGGTTCCTTCGTTTAGCCCTTAGGCTCAGCCCAAATCTCCCCTCCTCAGAGAAACCTTCCCACCCACTTGACCTAAAGAATCCCCGACATGCGTCTCCCTGTGACTGTCCCTCGTCACCCTGATCATCTCCTTCATTGCTCGTCACATTCTGTGATGATCTTGTTTACTGTCTTCTTGCCGAACGTCTCTGACCCCCACTAGGATGTGGGCTCCGTAAGCGGGGCACCATTCCTGACTGGCACCCATTAGCACTTAGTGTGTTGGTTAGATGCGTCAGTGAAGAAATGAGTGAGTGAAATTCTACATAAAACAGCCAACTCCAGGTTCTGACCCCTGGTGGTGGGGTGCGGGCTGGTGGGGGGCAGGGAAGGGGTGAGAGGAGGCAGGGCAGGGGCGGGGAGCCAGGCTGACATGCAGAAACAGTCACTGCTTCCCACGTTGTCTCCCCTTCAACCCCAAAGTCTGGGCACCTCGGGGAGAGGCACCCTTCCCGCAGGTCTGTGCCCTGGACATGTGTGGAGCCTGGTGCCCTCCTGCCCAGGCGGTGGCCTTAACCTGCTGTGCAGAGGGACAGACGCAGCCCTGAGGCCGGCATGGCTGCAAAACAGGACAAGACAGCCGGTGGAAAGGTTCCCCTCCTCTAGAAGAGGCTGCACCTGGCAATTAATGAGCAGATGGGGGAGGGGAGGGCCCAGCTGGGGCTGGTTACCGTGGGAGGACAGGGAAGAGGGCAGCAAACCGATGGCAGGAGAGCTGAGACTCCTGGGCCCTCAAGGCCCAGAGGGACAAGGGGCCGAGGGGAAGGAGAGAAGAGGGAGGACCGAGGAGGGACAGGAGCTGGCAGGTGTGGGCCAGGCTTGCTGCGCTCCCCTCCCTGCCCACCCTCTCAACAGCCACAGTGCCGGGGAGAGGCCAGCACGATCCCCATTTTACAGGTGAGAAAGCTGTGGCTCTAAGAAGGAAATGACTCAAAACTCCATGGTAGGGCTTCCCTGGTGGCGCAGAGGTTGAGAGTCCGCCTGCCGATGCAGGGGACAGGGGTTCGTGCCCCGGTCCGGGAGGATCCCACATGCCGCGGAGCGGCTGGGCCCGTGAGCCGTGGCC